TGTGCTGTCATTGTTTTATGTCTAAGGATTAATAGTCTGGTGGAGCATAGTGGGTAATTTAAACTGAGATGATACCAAAGACATGAAGTGCAGAGAGGAAGCTGATGGAAACAGTGCAGGCAGAAGAAGGTGAGGCCTGAGCTGAGACTTTGGCAGTGAGGAAGAAAAAGAGAGGAATTTCTGAGTTAGAATTTGCAAGTTTGGTTACTAAGTGGATGCAGGCAGTGAGAGACACGGAGGAGGGGGGAAAGGATCTGAAATTTCCATGCAGATGGTGTGTAGATGGGTGACTCCACTCATTGGCTGTTTCAAAAAGAAATATAATTCATTTGAGCCACATTTCTATATGTTTCAGTTATAGGAAGAAAATTATAAGAGAAAAGCTCCATGGGAAAAGATTTTGGTTTGAGGTTTTCCAAGGAATTATAGAACACAAAACTTAAAATAGCAGAAATTATATTGTATAAAGTTTGATTTCCGGGTAGTATATATGGTGTTTCCAAATGAAAACCAAATTCAGAAACCAAAGTCAATGACTTTGATCTTGTTAAGTCTCAGTTTGGAGAGTTGAATGCACAGACAAAGGTTCTACCTTTTCGAAAATGTTTATTTGCTTTTTTGCATTTAAAATCCAGATAAAAATTACAACACTCCAGAAAATCATGCTGTTTGCTACCTGTTGTAGTTTTAGCTTGTAAAGGTTTAATGAAAAAGAAATCACAAGGCTAAACATTTCAATGGAGAATTTCTACGTGGCTTTACTTGGAATAATGTGTAAGAATTGGCTAAGGATATTTTAAGAGACTCATACCAAAGGTTTTAGAAAAATAAGGGCAAAGATAGAATATCTAGCACAAATATCAGGAAGTAGATTGAGAAAAGTGTCAAAAGACACATTCATCCTTAAAGTCTTTTTTTAAAAATTCTGTAAAAAATGATGTAAAATGCTTGATGTTCCTCCAGAGCCAACCCAACTGAATGTGTTATGATTGAGCCAAAAGAAGAGAGTTGAAAAGAAACTAGAAAAATTCATTTAATATGACTCTGAAAAAGTAACCATGCCCTCATTTGTTCTGAATAGGTAATATCATATATGCTTTTGATAAGCACAAGATACAATACACCACTGACCGATTTCACTTAGTTACCAACTCCAGATGTTCAATGTTAAAAATGCTGCAGCAAAATTCCAATCCTGGGGACTCCATGTTCCCTCGTTGTAGCCAGCACTGCCCACCCTTCACAGGAAATGATAAGGGAGGAATTACACCCTTTCCCTGCCAGCTTTGAAAATTTGTCCTACATCATAGGCAAAAGCCAAGGGCATAGCTGCTCTGGGGAGCCGCAGGGCAATAGAGGAAGGCAGGAAAGCTCTGGATCTGCCCTCCCAAGTCACCGATGGACGGTCCTGCTACCACCACCTGCTGTCTACGGGACACGGAGCAAGTCACTGAGACTCTCCGCACCTCTAAAATTAGCGCGTGTCTTTCCTGGCCCTTCGGTTTTGTGCGCATGTGCGAGGATCACATGAGATAATTGATGGAAGTTCAGAGTAAAAGCAGAATGAATTCTTCCGTTGATGTCATCCTCACTATAACACTATTTATAACGTCACAAAACTTGGAGAGAAGTTGAGAGTATGATGTAGAAGAAACTTATTGTCTGCCACCTGGCTCTTTCATAAGCCCCAGAACTCCACAGTTAACACCTCTCAATGAGATGCACTCGTTCAATTTACAAGATAAGGAGCACAAGATTACCTTTGGATTTCGTATCTTTCTTCCAAAAATGGGTTTCTTTTCCTTTAAGTAATACTGTCTCAAGACCTTTATCATATAAAACACACGGGCCTATGGCTATAATCCATTGAATTAAGGAAAAACTTAGGAGAATCAGTATTCTCAGTATTCCCTCTACTGAGAGACAAAGGCATGTGCTAAAAAGAATTCAGATTCAGATCTCATTTAAATTCTGATTGGCCACTTGCTCTGCCCTTGGGACAGTGACTTTAGATTCTTTGTGGGCCTCAGTTTCTCCATCTTTAAAATGGGGAAAGAGAGTAGGTGGGCGGCCGGGCGTGGTGGCTCACGCCTGTAATCCTAGCACTCTGGGAGGCCAAGGCAGGAGGATTGCTTGAGGTCAGGAGTTCGAAACCAGCCCGAGCAAGAGTGAGACCCCGTCTCTACTATACATAGAAATAAATTAATTGGCCAACTAATATATATAAAAAAAATTATCTGGGCATGGTGGCACATGCCTATAGTCCCAGCTACTTGGGAGGCTTGAGGCAGGAGGATCGCTTGAGCCCAGGAGATTGAGGTTGCTGTGAGCCAGGCTGACTCCACGGCACTCACTCTAGCCTGGGCAACAAAGTGAGACCCTGTCTCAAAAAAAAAAAAAAAAAATAGAGAGTAGGTGGGAATAATGCGTCCCTGGCAGGGCTGTTATGAGTATTCAAGGCAAAGTGTAAAATGTGCCCAGCAGAGGGCGCGGCCAGCAGACATGTGTTCCTTCAACGGTGACGATTACTCGCGGTATCACCCCATGGCACAATGGCAGCCATTTTGCTCCTTCCACCTGAGTCTGCAGAGATGTCTAGTTTGTTGTTGTGTCTTTCTTTAGACCCATCATGACCAACTGAAGAGATGTCTAGGTTGGATCATAGTGTCAGTTTGTTCTTCAGATACGGAAATATATAATGGCTTTCTTGTTACGTTGACCAATTTTTATGTATATATGTTTTCATATATATGAAAACATATATACACATGTTTTCTTGTTACACATAAGAATGGGGTGAGAGTAAATAAAATATAGTTCATGAAGCCCTGGAAATGAGCACAATGTATAATTTTGATAATTAGCTCCGTTAGAAGTGAAAATAAAGAAAAAAACTTATGAAACTTTCTTGAGAGTGATATAGGAGATAAATAAATTTTGCAAGTCACAGAATGCCAGTAAGCATCATGTCTTTATTAATAGAAGCATGATATCTATATAACATTCATTTCTCTCCCCTTCCATCTAAATTTGCATTCATTATAACCATTAGTTACATAAATTCAGGGATTTTAATAATTTTTAAAGCTATCACCTTTATGATTGAAAAACACAAATACCTGTTCACTTGCTTTTTATTACAGAACGTGAAAAGGGCATATGGAAAATGGATTTGACATAGATTCATTATACCAAACAGCAAGCTTTATCTCAATCCTACTGGAACGATACAGGCATTTGCAAAATCTCTTTAGTTTCTTTTGAACCAGGCAGTTGCAAAGGTGCTAACAGACAGCTGCAGGTACCAGCAGACTATCATGACCTTGTTGGCTTTGAATGATGCCGTTTGCTTGTGATTTCAATGATCAGATGTACAGTTCTGAAAGACTTTCGTTGCTCTATAACCACTTATTGAACCTGGCCAAAATAACAATTATGAGAATAATAATAATAAAACATAACTTTCCATCATACCTGGCCTACGAACCTCTCAAAGATCAAAGATCATTACCTCCCTCTCTCCTCTCTTCCTAGTCTCTCCCTTCTCTCGGAGGGGACTCCACTTGCAGGTCTAAGCCTTGTGTTTGTTGCCCTCCACCTCTTTTGTCCTATTAAAGCCACATCTCCAATCCTTTACTATCCACCTTCCACCCCCGGTTCTCTATCTCTCTTCAAAACAGGCTTGACCCATGTAAACATCTGGCTGCTAGAAACTCCTTGACTGGTAAATTCAACTTCACTTGGTTACCTGCAACTTCATGTCCTGGGCCCTCCTGGTTGGGTGAGGGTCACTGCTCCTTCGTAGCTGTCCATTCCTACACTGACCTTCTGTTCACATATGATCCAGAGGCAGGGACGGGACCACAGTGACAAAGCCGGGGTGGGGTGGGGGAAGGATTGGTTTGGAGCAAAAGGACATCTGCTTGCCTTGAGCACCTTCTCCAAATCGATGCCTTCTCAAAATGTTCAAACCAAATATCTTGACATGATTGTTAAAATGTATTAAATATAGTCATAGAAAAGAAGGTAAAGGGAGAGCTGTAGAAAGTTCTATGGAAGTTAAGGGGCCTCTATTTGTGCTTGGTTCCTGTCAATCATTACCCATCAGCAGAAGCAGGAAGAAACTGACTCAGCTTACGTCTGATATTGGAATATCAGAAAAAAACAAGAAAGGACAATAATAATCCAACACCCTTATATGTGTTTTTTATCGCTGCCAAAGTGCCTTTAACTTCAATACCTTGTGCAGTAGGTATGAAAAATGCATTCTCTTATATTGGAGAGGAAACTAAGGAACATGGTGATGAATGAATTTATCTAAGGTCACACCAGGATTAGAATCCAATCCTTGGACTTTACTTCCAGGTCTCTTGCAAATATAAGAAGTTGGCTCCCAATTTATGCTGGGATTAACAAAAAACTAATGGGTCTTAAATTATGAAAGATATCAAAAGAGCCTAAAAGAAACCAGGCTAAAGACCAATGAATATTTCAGGACTTTTCTATTATTATTTTCATTATTATTAATGCCCCCTAGTGGTATATTTTGGGATATTGATGAGCCTTGACCTTGGATGCCATACCACCATGACATTATTAAGTGTCAGAAGAATTGATAGCTTTTAGAAAGTAACAGCAAGGCCGAAATTAACTCCCAACCAGTAGGCAGATGACAGAATCAGATGGATGACAGTGAGCACAGAACAGATGTGGTTGCAAAGGAAATCACATGTTTCTGCCCCTTGAATCTCCCAAATTTGATTAGTGTCTGTGTTTTCCCTTCGACCACTGTGAACTCCAACGGCAAAAAGAGCTGAAACCCTTCTCTTTTACTTCCATTGACCGCTGAGCTGGAGGATACTGACGTGTGGATTCCCTTGGGAAAAGAAAAGCAATCCTTTGTCTCAGTCTGAGCTGGGAAACAAAATTATTAGGACAATACAGGCATTTGCAAATTCTCTTCAGTTTCTGTTAAATCAGATGCTTGCCAAAGTACTTACAGACTACAGATTTTGGAAGAGATTTACAGCCCATGGAGGCTCCAGAAGGCTCTGCTGTCTTCCAGTTTTGTCAACATGATCTGCATGTAGGTTAGAAAAACAGTAGTCAGCTAATAAAATGAAAATTTGGAAAGGGATAATATAGGTCAGAAAAATTTTGATTTTTTAAAATCAAAAACACAAACAATTCCTGAAAGAGTGGTTTGTGGTTTTTGTGTTTTTGTTTTTGAACCAAGATTAGCTTTGACCTTTGGCTTAAACAGCATATTCCTTCCGAGGGCTCTTTGAAATGGACCTTCTACCGCTCTTGGGTGATTGTAAGCTCCTGAGTCCCTGGGTAGAAATTGAGAATTCTAGTCTCTGGTGCTTGGGGCTGGGGCTGGCACTCCACTTTCATCTTAGCTGGCAGTGCTGGGCTGGATCTAACCTGGTTTGCAAAGCCAAGATTGCAAACAGGCTTTAGGAGAACTTGCAACATCAGTCTTGCAAAGGGCACTGTGTTGCTGTAAGTGCCGGCCAGGACACAAACAGAGCCTGAAGACATTTAGGCAGAAAATCTCAACCCCATAATCATGAAGATGATTATTAGGAACTTTCAGTAGGCCATAAATTCCCTCTTTTTTAGGGAGACGCTATGAAAACCATGGAGGAAGTGAAGGCACACATAACATGTAAGGTCTAATCCATCAAAGTACATTCCCTCCACAGGTCTAGGGAGAGAGCGAGAGAGAGGGAAAGGGGACAGGAAATAGGGGAGGATGCAGGGAGACAATTGAGAAAAGTTTTCAGATCAGCAGAGTCACCCACTGGCAACTCCGTATCAAAACTACATTGCAGTTTGGCGACATGGCTTCCAGATGAGGTGTTCCACGGGATTGTCAATCACTACAGGGAAAGCAGAGCTAGAAGCCAGACACAAAATGAGAATTAAAAGATTAAAAAGCAATGCCCTTCAAATGCTGCTGCACCCCTGGGTGCCCGATCTCTGGTTTTCACTGGGGGGCATTTTCCCCACTCTCCATGGCTCCTCCGTGTGCACGGTGGTCAGAGTCACAGATTAGAGTGGCACTTCCACATGCTAAAGAGGGAGTGGGCCTTTGCCAAGCTTATCTGAGGGCCTGGTTTCCAGAGGGAGTTTGGGGAAAGTAAGAGAAAAACTTGGAGGAAGACTGGCAGTGAGAGTGGTGGTAAACAGAGGTTTGCAAGAATGTCAGCTCCTTTCCCACTCTACCCCCAACCCACAGCCCCACTCTAAGAGCTTCTGCCTGTTCTCTTCTTGGTCCTCTTTTTTTCTACCATATTTTCAGCAACTACAGCAAACCTTCTTCCCTTTCCCTTCATTTTTTATCTCTTCTCTCTAGTCTGAATGGTTTCAGTTTTGCTGGTTATTATCTTAAGCTACCCTAAACCCATTTTTCTAAGTAGTAGGAGAAATGTTAATAAATGCACGCATACATACATGAATAAACAAACTAGGTAGGATTGACTCTCAACCACTCTCATGATTTTGACTGTTTCTGTGAAATGATCCCGAAACCTGAGTCTTCAGTCCTGAGACCCTTCCCCCAGGTTCCCTGGGTTGGCTTTCTGTTTGACATCTGCACCCGATTCCCCTGTGAGCAGCTCACATGCAGACTCCAGAGCCGTCACCCACCTGTCCATGTCCAACCTGCTCCTGTCCCTGCGCTCCTGACTTCTGTTACAAGGATTACTGTCCACCTGGTCAGCCACACAAAAACCCCAATCACCTGTGGTTCCTCAGTCTTCCTTGCTCCTAAATATCCAAATATTCATTAAATACCATCACCCTGCTGCAGACATATTCCTTGAATCCAGCTTATTCTCTCCTGAAAATCCCCTTCCTTAGTCCAAAGCCCCCTGTCTCTCATGTGCTGCTTCCAACAACCTTCCTTTGCAGCCTGTACCCTTTGCCCACCTCTAAGCCTTCTTCCATATGGCAACCATTGAATTTCTCATCTAAAACAGGATACTTTCAAGGGAGAAAGTAGGCACTATTAACAATTACCTCGGGACAACAGGTATAATCCAATCTAGCCTGGATATATATGGTCACGCTGATTCTACATCCTTCTGACACAGTAAAGCTGAAATCTAATCTTTTACAGCACTGAATGAAAACCTTTGCTAACTCACTGCAGCACATCAAACAGATTTGATGTTTTTTAACATAGCAACCAAGGTTCTGGCCCCAGCACGATTTCTTTCCACCCTTCTTCCTGCCCCTCCACTCCAGCCAAACTCAGGATTCTGTCCCCTGCCCCTTCCAACATTTGGCCTTTGCCTTCCCCTTTCATATCCTCCCCTCCCAACTACCAACACTGTCCTCAAATACAAATCCTATCTAATTTTCAAGATCTACCTTAAAGACCACCTATTCTGGGAAGCCATTCCTACTCTCAACATGGCAGGCCCTGAAATCACGCTGTCTGGGTTAAGACAGCTCCTCCATTTACAAAAAGTGTGCCATTAGAGTTTTTACCTCTGTCTTGGTTTCTTCATTTGCAAAACCTCATAGAGTTGCTGTAAGTGTGAACTGAGTAGATACTGAACTGCTAACATTGTCTGGCTTGTAGAGAACACGTGAGCAGTGTGTATTATCATGACCATCTTGACATGTATGTCTTTCCTGTAGACACAGAGAGCCTCCCTTATCACATTCTACCTTGCACTCCAATGTTTCCCAGGATGAAAACATTTTGGAAACAGTACATCGTGTTAACAGCAAACAAGACAAAAACAACAGAAATAGTACATCACTGGCCCACCCCACCTGATACGTAACATGGGCCCCGTAGGCAGCCCATATTACTCCCGAATAGTTGGCAGAATTTTGGAGGAAGAGTCGCCCTCACCAATCTTACTGTATTGGGGTTGGGGAGGCAGTAAGCAAACAACCCGGCCATTAGTTGTGGGGAAGGTCCAACACTGTTAAGACCAGATGCCTGAGGAAGTGACAACAGAGCAGATGAGCATGAGGAGTGATCCTAGTTCAATGTGCAAAGGGGGACAAGGGAAATTCTCCACACTGAGGGAAGAGTTAAGAGCCCTGTGGCAGGAAGGGCCATGGCACATCCAGGGAGCAGGATGGCAGTGCCAGGAGTGAAGGACAATGCTAAGTAAAGTGAGGCTGAGAACTGGGGACCAGGCTGCCCAGGCGGAGCAGATTATACTTGATCATGACAGCAGTGGAGAGCCACCCAGGTGCTTTGAGCAGGGAGGCATGAAGATCCTATTTGCCAGCCACGCACGGTGACTCACGCCTGTAATCCTAGCACTCTGGGAGGCCAAGGCGGGAGGATTGCTTGAGGTCAGGAGTTTGAAACCAGCCTGAGCAAGAGTGAGACCCTGTCTCTACTATAAATAGAAAGAAATTAATTGGCCAACTAATATACATAGAAAAAATTAGCCGGGCATGGTGGCACATGCCTGTAGTCCCAGCTACTCGGGAAGCTGAGGCAGCAGGATTGCTTGAGCCCAGGAGTTTGAGGTTGCTGTGAGCTAGGCTGACGCCAAGGCACTCACTCTACCCTGGGCAACAAAGCGAGACTCTGTCTCAAAAAAAAAAAAAAAAATCCTATTTGCCTCTGCAAAGATGCCTCTGGTGATCATGTGGAGAATGGACAGCTTAGCCTGAAGTAGTTTGGGAAACAGAGTTAAACAAAAGGAATCAGCTTTCTTTCCCAGGGAACCTCTTAAAGGCTATAAAAACCAAATATGCACTATGAATCTCTAGGGAGAGGGAGCAGCTAGGATGCAGATTGTCACAAACTTGTCTGACCATGGAATGCTTTCATTTGTTAATTCAAGCCGTCTATGTTCATATCCTAAAATGCTGTTCTCAGAACACTAGTTTGGGAATCACTGATTAGGCTTCGGTGAGAATCATTGCCACTCAGATGTCTACAAATATGAAACACCCCGAAAGGCCCCTTCAGAACAGGCTCCATCATAGAATCTTCCTACAGCCTTTGTAGGCCGCCTTTCTTGTAGCATTTGTGAATGATCCTTCTGCTGATACCATTATTATTATTTACTGAAAACTTGCTCTGGGTGCCTGACACTGTGCTTCACATATTTTACCTCAGTTTATCCTTATAAAGTCCCTCTGAATTGTGTGGCTCTTTAAAAGGTAACAATGGATTTCTTAGTATGAATGAATGTAGTTTTTAGCAAGGACATGCTAAAGCCATCCAATGTGAATCTTAAATTCTTAGTCATTAATTTCACTGTTTTTATTTCCCTTTCCTGTTTTACTTTGAAAAAACGGGAATAGGGGTATTCTAAAGCCATTAGCAATAATCTCCATCAGTGTCAGGTGTGGCTTTTTGGAGATTAAAAATCTCCACCAGTGTCAGGTGTAGTTTTTTGGCTATAATTATAATTATGACAAACATGGATGGCTAATTTTAGAAAAAAAAAATTTTTCCCACAAAGCAGGAGTGAAATGACAGCTTGCTCACAGACGATGAGATGATTCAGTATGTAAAAGACTCTCATTTGAGAAACCAGGAGCTGGAAGATTTAATGATCAAGTGCTTTTGGCCACCTGCCCGGCTGTGCCTCCTGGTGAAGCTCCTCTCGGGGACACGAGTCAGACACGTCCCCACCCGGCCACTCTCCCACATCCCTGGGGGGAGGCCACCTCCCTTCAGGAGTCGGCCCCTCTCCATACGCTCCATACTGAAAACAAAGAAAAAAAAGGCGCCTCCTGGATAATCCAATCCCCAAATCTGGCCTGAGTCTTCCACAAAAGTGCAAGAGCTCTCCAGAGAAAAGGAAAAGGGTTAAATTTGTTCCAGATACATGGATGGATGTTCTCACCTTTGTGCTTATCTTCATGAGGAAGGACTTTCGGTGGCGTGGCCCCACGTTAGGAGACTTTTCAGAGCTGTGTGGCCCGTTGCGCGACCACGACCCCCGAGAGCGCGACGCCCCAGCGCCCGCCGAGCCGGCCGCCCCTCCCCCACCCCGCTGTTGGCGCCACCTTCTGAGCTGGAATAAGAGCCAACGGCTGGGCACTTCGGTTTCGGTAGCGTCATCTAAATCTCACGTTTGCTTCACTTGGAATGTACGAGAGGCCGAAACAATGAGGAGCCCACAAAGCAGGATCCAGTGGTGCTTCTGGGCCTCCGATCCCCTCCGTGAGCTCCCCTGCTGTGCGACCTGGGGTGATCACATCCAGCAAGGGGTGTGCCCATAGGCATGGTAGGAAGCCTCTGAGATGGCCCCCAGCCATCCCCACTTCCCGGTCTTCCGTGATCCCCTCCTCCTGGGTGTGCACCGGACCTGAGGACTCACCTCGAAGAATAGAATACAGCAAAGGTGACGAGATGCCACATCCAAGGTTAGGTCGACAAAGACTGTGGCTTCTGGCCTAGACGCTCACCCTCTCTGGCTTGCTCGGGGCTCTAGGTGAAGCTGGCGGGCGCTGCCTTGTTGTCAGCTGCCCTACAGGGAAGGCTGCCGTGTCAGGAGGCACTGATGTCTATGCCAACAGGCGGGAAGGACCTGCCAACAGCTGCGTGGCTGAGCGCAGAGGCACCGCTGCTTCCACTCGCCTTGACATGAGCACAGCCCCAGACAGTACCTCGACTGCAGCCTCGCAGACACCCTGAGTAGTCAGAGAGGCACCTGGCCCAGCTGCACCTGGATTTGGGGTCCACAGGCACTGTGAAATAACAAATGTTTGTTGTTTTCAGACACTATGTTTTGGGACCATTAGATCTGCAAAAATAGGTAACTAATACAATGGGAGACAATTTCATGGTTGGGAACCAAGTGGTGACTTCAAATTCTTCTCAGCAGAGTCACCTTTTAATGTTATCTGTATATATTCAGTGTAGGGATAGTGGAACTATTCTGGGTCCCCGACATGGTGGGAGGTGGGCTGGGGGACCATTGCAAGCTGAGCTCATGAGACTTTAAGTGTAAGGAGCTCTGCATTCACTGCCCGGAATGCCGTCTGTCTAGCCCAGCACCTGCCTCTTCTAGAAGAGCAAAATCAATGTCTTGTATTGCCATCTTTATACCTGAGGCCCTCTACTTACTTATTAGGCATCTTGTATGTGTGTTTCTTTTCTTCTTCAAATCTAGACATAAACATATATGACATAATGACATATATGTCATTATGTCATATGACATATATGTCATATGACATATATCTAGACATAAACATATATGCAATATATTCTCCTTTATATATTGACACACACTGTCAGCTCAATGATATGAATAAATGTATAGCATTGAATAGTACTGTATGCTTAAAGATGTGTCTTTTGGCCGGGCGCTGTGGCTCACGCCTGTAATCCTAGCTCTTGGGAGGCCGAGGCGGGCGGATTGCTCAAGGTCAGGAGTTCAAAACCAGCCTGAGCAAGAGCGAGACCCCGTCTCTACTATAAACAGAAAGAAATTAATTGGCCAACTGATATATATATAAAAAAAAAAAATTAGCCGGGCATAGTGGCACATGCCTGTAGTCCCAGCTACTCGGGAGGCTGAGGCAGAAAGATCACTCGAGCCCAGGAGTTTGAGGTTGCTGTGAGCTAGGCTGACGCCACGGCACTCACTCTAGCCTGGACAACAAAGTGAGACTCTGTCTCAAAAAAAAAAAAAAAAAAAAGATGTGTCTTTATTCACAGAGAGACTTTAAAGGCACTAAATGGTATCTGTTACATGATAAGTGCTATAGCAAAAAAGGAATGAAAACTAGCTTTGCTTTACTAAATATCAATGGAGCAAATCTGCAGCATATTGAACAATTTATTTCCTAACAGAATATGAAAACAGAAATCATTAAGAACTCTTTCATCACTTATTAGTCATTAAGAGTTATTTTCAATGACTGCCACTTCTCCATTATAATTGCCTCTCCATGAATTTTATTTTCTTCATATAGAGAAAATACTCTTTGCAGACAAATACTCTCTCTTCCCCATTTGTTCAAACTTGACTGTCAAGCTCAGAAAAGCTTACGACCACATTTGGCACTGGAAACGGGAAAATAAATGATCCCCTGTAAATCAACCCTACTATAAAAAGGCACTTCACCAGTCTTTCCCGGGGGAGTCAGAGACAAGATCACAATGAATAAAGAATAGTATATTCCTATTCACACACACACTCAATCCCTTCCCTCAACGTAGCTATATTTTTCCCAATTAATATTTCAGCAGTGAAAAGGATTTGGATCTTAGGGCTTATTTGATCACTATGGTGATGCTCAAAACCTTCTGGAATATAAATGATTTTCCAGATCTGGACAGACTTTGCAGTGCTAAGGGCAGCACAAGATTAACTTTGCCAGAGGAGAAAGCAGGTACGCTGCCCAGATAAATAAGGCAAAGAAGGAAGCAATGACGTTCATGCTTTTGGGGCTCACATTTGCAAACCCCAGAAACAAGTAGTGTTCATGAAACTGTCACCAGATTGACCCTTTCCTCAAAATGCATCATTTGGTGCAATTTCAGTCTCATTAGAGCCATCTATACAAATGAGCCAGGTTGCCATTGGCAGCAAGGCAATGCGGTGCACATGAACGTCATGCTTGCTTATGCACAGATGCTAAATGAGGGCACTGGGAACAGGTTCTCTACAAGGTTTTGCCAGCTCTGCAATTCCTCTGCTGCACACTAAGTACAACAAAGTGGTGAAGCCTCTCCAAGAGACCTTCATAACCCCACAGAACTGGAACCCTGCACCGTTAGTCTGGCCTTGTCCACTTGGCTGCAGAACCAAAGGGATCATCGAAGTCCTATATCTAGCCAACATTCAAGTGACAGGAACTGGGAGGTCAACAAGCCCAAGAGCTTGGAGCCCATTGTAAATGGTCCATGCCAGGCAACTCTGGGTGTTTTTAAGGACTGCTCGGATTGTCCCAGAGCTGCCAGAGAAGTTCCTGATTTCTTCCTGTTTCTCTGCAGCACTCCTCAAAATAGAATGGAGTTCTTGGACGAGTCAAGGAGAAGACTACCATCACCATGATGCTTTTGAGTCCTACCACACTATGCCCAGCCTTCAGTGGAAAGCTGGGGGTGAAGAGCCACAAATACCATAAGGATTAAGGAGTTCTGGAGTCAGAGGACCTGGGTTCAAATTCCAAATCTACTCTTTGCTATGTGAACCCTGGGTGAGTAACTCAACTTCTGTACGTTTCAGTTACCCCTGGTATATGGGGACAATAAGATTCACTTATTTCAGCCTCCAAGACAGACTCCCACACAAGGAAGAGGTCAAAGACCCCTGTGCTGCCCGTGCTGACTCAATCTGGTACCACTGCAACAGAGACATGAAACTCAGCTCCTTCTTAGATTTCATACAAACACACACATATCCAAATGCACCACAATTACAATGCAAAAAGATTTGATTGTAGTAGAATTTACTGAAGGTTTACAAAGGAGGGATTTATATTAAGTGGTACACTCCACTTCAAATTGAACTTCAGGTTCAGGTTAGACATTAGATGTTTCTGTTCTTAAGATACTTTTTAGCCCAGAAAGTATTGAGAAACTTTTACAAGCCACTTCGCCCCCAAGTAAAGCCAGTCATGTCATCTATGGTTGGTTTCTTTCTACCTGCACACACCCTCCCTCCCACTTGTCTGTTCTCTCTTGATCCTTCTATTTTTCTTCTCAAAAGCACAAAGTCATTAACCTCATTGTTTCACTCAAAGGAGTATAACCATCATCTTGGCTCTCTTGGCTACTACTGAAGCCAGCACTATCTTTGACCTACAAATACCTCATCGAAGTATTTTCCTAACAAAGATGGCTTCCTCCCTAAGAGTTATTCCAGTACTCGCTTTTGAAATAATTCACTAAATGCTCTGCTACAACTGTATTATTACAAGGTTGATCTGCAATAACCAATCTTGTAATTGGCTAAGCATTTCCTCAAACACAACCATGAATAATAATTAAGCATATATCTTTCCTGTATCTTTTTTCCTGTGCTTGGTATTAATAAAATTCTGTGGCCTGTTCTTTTCCACTTAATTTTATATTAAAAATATCCTCTATATTTCTACATAGTTATTATATGTGTTATTTTTAATGCCTATGTAATAGTTTTTGGATGTATATACCACATAGTGTTACTGAACCATTCCACTACTGTTGGACTTCTAGGCTTTTCAAAAATTTTTGCCATTATAAATAAACTTCAGGGTATGTTTTTATGCATAAATCCTTTATTTTGCTCTTAAAAACAGAAATTTGGAAAAGCTATTAGTCTGATTTATACTGTCCTGAAACTTTCACAAAAAATCTAAATTAAATTATTGCTCTATAAATTTATCAGCAGCTGAGATTGCAAATATTCTACTACTAGTTTCTTTGCATCCAGAAAATACTTTTAGAGAATCAAAGAAGTGTCTATACAAAGAAATCAAATTTTTATTGACTACCATATATCAGGTTCTTTTTATTGAGTGTTAATAGAGATAGAGAAAATTCAACTATAAAAATAATCCTCTTTATGAAAGTGATGTGATTCCCTACATGCTTGATTGGCATTATCATTAATCCAGTGACATTCAAAGTAAGTTTAACAAAAAGATGGGAGTGTGTCTTTCATATTTTATTATTTCAAATTTATGTCCATGCCATCATATATTGGATTTTCTCCTGGAACACCCTTCCACACCTATAATCCCTGGTGAATTCCTATTCTTTTCAAAACCCTGTTCAATTGTCATCTCCTCTTGGGACATTCTCCAACCACCCCAGTGGCATGCTGGAGTCAGCTTGCACAGGCAATAAAAAGCCAATTCTAGAAGCCAAGGCATCTCTTCCCAAAGCTGCTTTTCATGACTTTCGGTAGGTAGCTTAAAATCAGCCATCATGGTAACATTTACCCAGCAGAAATCAGCAAACTACATGTCAGGGCTTTCCCCAGAAAGGTTGTTAAACATTTACCAGTGTCCACTGGACCACCTTCAGACAGGGGTGATCACAACTTTCTCTGAACTACCTTTATTTATTACTTTTAGATTTAAATTTTAAATCTTGTACTCACATTGGCTATCACACTGTACTGTCTTTGTTTGCAGATCATTCACTCCCCTTGGTCCAGAATTTCTTGAGCCATAGCACTATATCTTAGTCATCTTTTTGCCAAAAAAGCCATGAACAAAGAACTCTCTGAACTGTAGTGGTTACTATTGTTCTTATTGTCATAATTATTATTCAAATGGTTGTTAAATTGAACTGGTGAATTAGTACGTTTTAACTTCAGGACAACTTTACTTCCAGTATGGACTCTTCTATAACACTGAAGCATCATGAAAAGGGTAAGGCAGATAGGCAAAGTATAAACATGTTTTTAAATTGACTTTTACTATTATATTTTAGAGGCATGATTTGATTAGGATGTACTCTGGCTAATGAGCCCAATATGGGACTCAGAACAAACTATAGTAAGTTTATTGGAGCCAAATCTATGATAATGAAAGAAGTGGGGGAGCAAGAGAAAATTAAAACTGATTCCATAAAATAGAGATATTTTATGACAGCACATCCATTTTTCTCTTACAAGCCAAAAACAACAGTTTCTCACAACCTTTTTTTAGCTCAACAGGTGCTGTTGACACACAGAAGACTGGATGGATGGATACTCAGGCAGGTCTCTAGGTCTGATTAGAATGGACCCTCTTTTCATGGTCTGCCAACCTTGTCATTCAAACCTCCACATGGTGTGAAATTCTTTAAAAATCTTCAAATACTCTGAGAACACATTTTGCCATTAAGGCCTTTGGCATCACAGATTATGGTTATTAGGTCTTATATGTTTTGTCTTAGCCTGAGAGAGGTAAAAGTGCGGATTTCTGAAACGTTCATCTGTGAAGGAGCAAGTCACAACACACAAATGGCAGTGCCATCTTTCTCGGCATGATGTTCAGTGGCTTTATGACAACAGCTTGTCTGCTAAAAAGGCTTTAGAGAAAGCGCTGAACCGGAAGTCAGATAGGTTGTCTGCTGATGGTTTTAATGCTAGCATCACACTAGAAGCAAAATGATTTTGGACAAATTGTTTAATGTTTCTGCATTTTGTTTCTAAAACTGAAAAACGAAGGGATTTGAACTGGTGACTCCTTACTTTCCTCCCGGATTTTGTTTCTCTGATATCTGTGGAGCCTGAAGAGATTAGTTCCCCTGAGAAGCTTGTGCCAGGAGGAGCAGATAGTGTCACCTCCACATTTTCAGTGGCTTTCCTTTGTTCTCTGCCAGTTGGAAATTTCTGAGACTGGTTTTGCCACAGGCTGTGGGAAAGGAAGGAAGCACTCATGGGACTTTTGGGCAAGGGCATCTTGAAGCTAAAAAATTAAAATATGAAGAAAAAAATGTATATAATCAGCCCAGGATAACAGTCATGGACCTTCCAACGAGACAATTGTGTCTAAAAAACAATGATGTAAAACTACATTTCAGAACCAAGAAAAACATGTAGGAACAATGAGTGGAGGTTGTTTCCATTTCTCTAATCTCTTTGTAGTGCTAATATCAGGAAAGAATAATTAAAGCCAATGGCAAATTTAGCAAAAAGAAAACTAGCCTTACTCTATGGATACTCTGAATTAAAACTGCTTTCAAATCTTTTCTACAAGCTCAAAAATACATGGTTCTGCTGATGAGAAAGTGAGATGAAAATCAAACTGGTGCTTAAACATGGATCCTTAAAGATTCTGAAACCTAATCAGTTGGGGAAAGAGAGGAGTTCCTTTGAAATAAAACCGGAAATAAGTAATATAAAGGATCTGTCCTGACAAATGTCAAGACATTATTCGTATGTTCTTCACTGTATGTCTTTATGTTGGGGCAAGTGACCAGCGATTGACCAGGGAAAGAACCGAGCGGCACACAGAGGGTCTTTCCCTGGCGGGCTCAGAGGGGCATGCCACCAAATTCTGAGCACTGCTTCCTTATTTCTCTCCAGTTTTATACACTTCTTGGGGTTACATACAACCAATATCCAATTAACGGTGGGATTAGTAAGATCAACCGTAAACTTCACATGTATCCAATCAGCAGTGGTTTTTGCCTCAGGGCCCCCAAGTGGGGGCTTTCCCTATCATTAGTAGGATAAGCTTCACATGTATCCAGTCAGCAATGGATTTTGCCTCAGGGACCCCAGGCAGGGGCTTTTCCCTATCATGTAAATGAGAGTTATAAGTGACAGTGAATGGGCATTGTAGTATGTCTGCTCCTCAGTGTGGACAGGTGTATTATATATGCCAGAGGCATGATTGTATCTTCTAACTTATAACTTCTAGCATCCTTCTTTTAATAAATGTTTATAGTATAATAATTAAGAGTAACAGAAGTCAAACCTGGTTAAACTATAGCTCTGTCATTTATTACTAATATTTGAACAATGTACTTTACCTCTTGAAACTTCAATTTCTGCATCTGTAACACAAAGATATAGTAAATCCATCCCCATAGGGTTATTGAGAAAGGGCTTAACTTAGAACATTGTCTATAATATAGTACATGTCCATAAACTGCTTTTATCTTGCTGTTATAACTTGCAGTGTGCATGGTCCTAGAGATTTTTTTTTTAATGAAAAAAATTGGTTGCATGTATTTGTTAAGTTCCAAGTGACCTAGAAAGTTTTAAGCATGATGGCCCCATGTGAATTCCAAATACAGGTGGTTGAAGCAAAACATCCATGAATTACTGGAGCTAATACATTCATCCAGGCAGGAGACAGTAGGTAGCAACAAGCCATCATTCTAGAAAAAAATGAGATTTTCCTACATGGTCTGAGATTGTTAGCTATGATCATTCCTGGGGGCATAGGCTCAATCTGGTGTGAGCTGAGAACTGGCGTGGCATAGGCAGAGGGGCACTGCTAGGGACTAGAGAAACCAGCACAGATTTGATACCCACATGGGCTGAGAGGACAGATGAAATCTAGAGGAGCCCCAAAGATGTAGGGCATTTCCCATGGGCATTTGCTGAGTGCTGAGACCCTGGGAGGCAAGAGTGGGCTGAGAAAACCGAATGAAATCTCCCACAATCTCACAATGCTTAGGCAACAAAGCCCACTAGAGGAAGTGCTCTGTAAGAAGCATACCACAGATCTCATCCTTAACATAGGTGGACTGAATTTATCTAAAGCTGCTGCTCAGTGCTAACACAGATAAAAATCTGATTAAATTGAGATAATTAATACTTCAATCTAGCTGCCAAGCAGAGGAAGAGCAAGAACTTCCTGGAAAAAAAAAAATCACTTATTTTATATACAATGTATGTGTGTGATATCCAGTCAAAAATTATAAAGCATGTGAATAGGCATAAAAAAGTGGCTAGTAATCAAGAGAAAAAATATACAATAGAACCAGGCCCACACACAATCCAAATATTGAAGTTAGCAGATAAAATCTTTAAGTAACTATAATAAATATAAGAAGTGTGCTCATGAAAATGGGAGAAAGATGGAGAAAATGAAAGAGAAGATAAAGAATTTCAACACAGAATTAGAATATACAAAAAACATGAAAATGGAAATTCTAGAACAGAACCAATAAAATATCTAAAATTAAGAATGCATTGGATGGCTAGACTGGAAGTCTACTATCCTACTACATTGGAACTCACTGGAAAGTAGACTAGAAGTCAAACACAGAATTAGTAAAATCAAAGAGAGGTCAATGAAAACTTTCCAGACTGAAGGCCTGAAGTTAAAAAAAGTGGGGAAAGGAAAGATGGAAAGAATAGAACAGAGCATAACAGACATGTGAGACACATGCTTGGAGTCTGAGAAGGAAAAGAGAATGAGAATAGAACAGGAATAATACTAGCAACAAACAATTGCAGAATACCATAGGATTTTTCACCTTTGTTATTAATATTACATGAATTATATTAATTTTTTAATGTTAAATTATACTGTATTCTTGGAATAAGCCCCACTGTAGCAGATTAGCAACTCTCCAATCTTCTTAGCCCAGTTCCTTCCTCTTAACAGTTCTTTCCCTTCTTATAGAGGTCCACACACTGGGGCTGCCATCTGTTGGATGGATCTCTTGCCTGGATGGAAGGGATGTATTAGCTCCTATAATTCACAGACGCTTGTGGGGCGCGGTGTCAACGCCATTACAAGTTGGCGCCTGTTTCCGGCTTTGCCTAGAGCAGCTAACAAGTTCAGCGCACGCACAATTGTCGGTTGCCCTGTGGCACGAGAATGCAAACAAAGGGTCCTGATATGGACTAATGCTTTGGTGGCTCGACAGTTGAGCGGCCTATCACAGCTTAGGGGTTGTACTTCTGGGGTATATAGCGGCCTGCGCGCTGCCGGGCTGGGTCTTCCGCATCATGTAAGTCTAAAGGGAACCCCATTAAAGCACTGTCAGAAGAACTCCGGTTGCCGCGTCTTCCTTACTGGCGAGGCGGGCGCGACAGACGCTTTGTTTCAACCACCTGTATTTGGAATTCACACAGGGCCATCATGCTTAACACTCTCTAGGAACTTAATTCATTTGGAACTTAACAAATACATGCAAACAATTTTTGTCATTTTTAAAAAATGCCCCAAGCTGGTGGCCCTGGTCTTCCAGGGTGGACCTCCCCATCCCATTACTGTTGCTGTGATGATCTAAGGTCCGGGGGCTGGACCAGATATCCTCTGTACAGAGAAGAAGTGCTGAGTTGTCATGCTACTACTGCTCTGGGATGTGACCTTTTGAATACCACAAAGCAGCTCTACACTTTTGAATAGCCCTAAGCATTCTTAGTTTTTATTTATTTAGAGCCAAACTTGTCTATCTCAAAGTTATAATCAAATTTTGGGTTGAAGCTATTCCGGATAAGTTTATTACTATAAATTCCACACATCAATTCTTTAATTAACTTATTTATTTTTATGGATATATAATAGTTGTACATATTTTTGCAGTATATGTGATAATTTGATACATTCATATAATCAAATCAGAGTAATTGGGAACTTCATTAACTTTAATATTTATATTTTCTTTAGGAACATTTGAATTATTATCTTCTATTTTGAAATACACAATTGATTAATGTTAACTGTGGTTACACTACTGATCTATTGAACACACCAGGTCTTATTTCTCCTATCTAAGTGTATATTTGTACTCATTAATCACACACAATTCTTTAAATCCAGGAAGATAGTTCTCATATACTCCTAGTCTTCTCTTATGGCAGCTAAACCTCTCCACTTCTGTTGACTACGCCTTACTTCTGTATTAATTTGGACTCTTTTGGTTACTGGGAACATACACCTACCTAATACTGGCTTTAAAAGGGAGGCCTTTCTTTTTTTTTTCTGAGACAGGGTCTCGTTCTGTCACCCAGGCTGGAGTGCAATGGCATCATCATAGCTCACTGCAGCCTGAAACTCCTGGGCTCAAGCAAACCTCTTGCCTCAACCTTCTGATTAGCTGGGACTACAGGCACACGCCACTAGGCCTGGCTAATTTTTCTTATTTATTGTAGAGACAGGGTCTTGCTATGTTCAGTCTGGTCTCGAACTCCAGGCCTCAAGCAATCCTCCTGCCTTGGCCTCCCAAACTTCTGGGATTACCCAGCATCTAGCCTGAAAAGAAGGATTTATTACCTAGCTGGGAAATGTAAGAGATTAGAACTGGCTTCAGGTATCTGTATGCTTTGCCTTCCCTGAGCTGATTTCACTTTGGGGCAGGTGCTCCAGTATGATAGCAGATATAACTATGAGCAAATCCCAGTTGACACCCTCTTCACAGTATGTGATCAAACAGCAAAGATCACCTGCTTCTTTGAATGTCAGCAAATTCTTGATTGGCCTGGCTTGTGACGCCGTCAACTCCTAACCAATCACATGCAGCCAGAGTGATAAAAACGTTTTGATTGACCACGCCCAGTTCTGTATTGAAGGGAGGAAAAGCAAAAACAGCCCAACCTGGTCCAATCACCAAGAGAAGGGACGGAAGAAAAATCACTCTAGTTTAGCAATGTCCTGATATAAATTAGATGACAGTGATATCAATAGAAACATGATTACATTATTGTAATTTCACACTGTGGGATAGCATACAGCTCTTAAATGTTATGTATATTCAATGACATTAAAGAATGCTCATGACAGGCCGGGCGCGGTGGCTCACGCCTGTAATCCTAGCACTTTGGGAGGCCGAGGCGGGCGGATTGCTCAAGATCAGGAGTTCGAAACCAGCCTGAGCAAGACCCCGTCTCTACCAAAAATAGAAATAAATTAATTGACCAACTAAAAATATATATACAAAAAATTAGCCGGGCATGGTGGCGCATGCCTGTAGTCCCAGCTACTCGGGAGGCTGAGGCAGTAGGATCGCTGAGCCCCAGAGATTGAGGTTGCTGTGAGCCAGGCTGACGCCACGGCACTCACTCTAGCCTGGGCAACAAAGTGAGACTCTGTCTCAAAAAAAAAAAAAAAAGAATGCTCATGACATACTGTTAAGTGAAAAAAAAAATTGCACACTAGTATGTAAACTACTTTGCCATTTTTATAAATAATGCTCTCTATAGGCTGCCCTCCACATTGACCATCATGAGCCCTTTTGGAAAACAGGTGATCCCTATTAACCTACCTAAACTCCAATTTAGCCACATTTCCTCATCTTTCCCTGAAAGATAGCATAGCAGGAGAGTCTTTGTTAGATACGGTGTTAAAGTCAAAGTATACTACATCTAAAAAAAATTCTCCTTATCTGTGAAAAGCAGAAAATAAGAATATATATCATTGGTTTTTCAGACAGTGCAAAATGGACCCATAAAATCTTTACTAAGTTAATTTGATCAACTTCATAAGGTGTGAAGGATTTAACCACGCACAAAGGGCACTCCCAGGGTTAAACAAAATATATACCAATCGAATACAGCAACAGCTGCTAGAAGAAATAAAACTAATAAATTGCAAGTGATTATTTAACTATCTAATGTGATATATTCAGCCTTGCACACTGATAATGAGCTCACCATGGAATACGAGGCATAAATCAATTTCTGATTATTATAATCCTCTAAACAATAACCTGTGAAATATTCCTGCCTGCAAAGAAAACAAAAGATTAAATTAGATAAAGTGCTCTGTGGTCATGAAAGTTTAAAGATGACTTTCTTTATACAATGGCCGTAGTTTGCATAGGAAATAATGTGCATTGCATTTTGAAAAAAACTCTATAGCCACCGCATTATTTGCATATAATGCGACAGTTATTTGATCCTTCTCACAGAGTCCCCTTGCTTAAGAAAGCTCCATGAGTGTCATTTGAGAAAACTGAATCAACATTTCTTCCAGTTAGAAATAATTCTTGCTTTAAGTAACAAACCATGTTTCCTTTCTTTCTTCTCTATTTTCGTTGCTGTCCTCAGGAATATTTTCAGAAGAGCAGAAGGTTTATGCCTCTCTATTTCTAGGGCTCCTGCTGTTTCTGTTTATTTACCACCTGAAGTCTTAATTCTCTGTTTGTAACACCACGATTGGCTACCGTGGAGACAATTTTGACATAATCACGCTAGAATTATGACTTAGGGACAGAGATCATAGGAAAGTGGTTGGAAGTCTTACAATGGGCCCTAAATGACAAAGAAGAACCAGAAATAGGATAATTTTCAGCCTAATTATCTGTACTATCTTTATTACACTTAAAAATAAAATTCACAGGCTTATTTTCCCCACCCCGTTGGGCTTTTAAAACTCATTTCCAAGGTTGTTATTGCAGTTATTAACTTCTTCACAGCTAGAATTCTGACAAGGAAGTCACTTTACAAATGTCAGAACTAAAAGTTGGTTGAGTTGAGCCGGCTAAAACCTTTTAAGTGAATCAGCAGCAGCTTGGGACTTCGGCACAACTCAGAGATAAATTTTACACCTAAATCTCATCTCCTCCATTTCCAAGGCAGACCGTTTGCTGCAGGTTCAGTCAACAACAGAGCAAATACACTCAGGTGAGTCTAAGCACTACAGTGAGCCCCTGCTGAACGTCAAAGTCAAATGCAGAGCAGCCCACGCTGAAATCAAACAGAAGGAATAAACCCTACAACGTTTCTGTTGGGTGTTGGCAAACACAGATGGGCTGGCACAGAGCCAGGGGCAGCCTTAGGCATTGCAAAACCTTAGCTGTGTCTGCTTCCTGGGTTTCTACAATGCCCTATGTCTTGGCTTACTTTCGCTTTTCCACCCTGGCTTCTAACCCTCAGAAACACTTAAAACCATTCTTCAGGCCAATCTGACTTCAAAGACACAGTGAAAGAAAGACATGATGTTAGAGGCTGGGGACATATTTTAGCCTAGCTACATACCAATTAGAAAAACTCAATTACTATTAAAATGTCTGTCCTACTCCAAGTCACACTCCAGTCCAAGACTGGAGGGAAAGACTATCCCACCGGCCTTCGAAAAGCAAGCTATGTCGTGAACTGCCAATACAGAAGACCATATGGCAGGGAATTGCAAGTAGCCTCTGAGAACCGAGAGCCTCAACTCTACAACCACAAGAAACTGAATACTTCCAACAGTCACATGAGATTGGAAGAGGACCCCGCGAGCTCCAGAAATGAACATGGTCCAGCCAAACACCTTGATTGTAGCCTTGTGAGACAGCTAGCAAAGGACTCAGATAAGCTGTGCCAGACCCAGCCCCACAGAAATTGTGAGATAATAAATGTGTGCTCTGTTGAGCCACTAAATATATGGTAATTTGTTAATGCAGCACTAGAAAACTAATACAGTAACCAGCAAAATACTCACATTGGAAAACATCTACATGACCACTGGAAATCAAGGATTGGTGCCACCTGGAGTCCAGAAATCCAGAGGACTTAATTCTTCAGACACAATTTAAGTGGTCCTGGATCAAAGGATGATGCTGAAAACTGCCCTCCTCCTGAGAGCAATGTTTCTGGAAGATACAAATAGGAACCAATAAAAAAAAAAAAAGAGGAACCATTAGACCACCACCACTCCGACACCTCTGTATCAGTGAAGATGTATTTGGATGCGAGCAAAGAAAGCACAACTCCAAGCGTCTTAACAATAAAGGAAATTTAATGACTTAGGGAAACGTAGAGAAATGTCTTTTTAGAGTTTGAGGACTGATTCAGCTACTCAGGGTTTCATTAAAGCCCAGTTTTGCTTTGCTTTGTTTTCTAACTTAATCTCCCTGTCAGTGTCAGATATATCCTAAGGCAGGCTCCTTCCCCCCTAGAGTCTCACGATATCTATTGACAATTCCCACTGCTGCCTGCCTCCTCTCCCGCTTCCATCAGGAAAGAGCGTCTTTGTCCCAGAATTCTCAGCAAAATCCCTGAGAGCCACACTGATTGGGCTGCCTTAGGTCACATGCCCCTCTCCTGAGCCAATCCTTGCAGCCTGGTGGTTGGAAGGCATAGTTGGCTTAGCCAAGGTCAAGTGTTCCACCCCCCAAGCTGGGCATGGAATAAGCATGAGGGAAACACACAGAGCCTTGTGGAAACTGCAACTGTGGGAAGGGAGTGGGCCATAGATACGGGGAGGCTACTAACAAATGTCTGCTAAAGTGAGGTTGGCACTGTTCTGAGACCCAGGAGGGAGGAGCACACTGGGAACCCGTGGGGAAGCCCAGCTCTCTCACCTTCACTGCAGCAGCCATGTGGGAAGGCCGCAGACTCTGCTCTTGGGAAAAAAAAAGTCTCTTCGAGCAAGGACTGGGCATGCTGGGGTGCCCTTCAGTCCTACCTAAGTGCAAGGACACACAGCTCATGGGCTGATTGTCACTGTAGCTGTGGCTCTAGATCCTTTTTTTTTTTTTTTTTTTTGTAATTGCGTTGCCCAGGCTAGAGTGCCGTGGCCTCAGCCTAGCTCACAGTAACCTCAAACTCCTGGGCTCAAGCAATCCCTTTGCCTCAGCCTCCTGAGTAGCTGGGACTACAGGCATATGCCACCATGCCTGGCTAATTTTTTCCCATATATTTTTAGCTTTCAAGTAATTTCTTTCTACTTTTAGTAGAGACGGGGTCTCACTCTTGCTCAGGCTGGTTTTGAACTCCTGACCTTGAGCAATCCTCCTACCTCGGCCTCCCAGAGTGCTAGGATTAAACCTTGTCCCTTAGCCTTCAAAATTGATGAGTGCTTAAAATGAAATCTAGTGATTTAATTTTATTTTTCCATTTCTTCCTTCAAAAAAGATTACATTTGAGATATTTTGCTATAAACCTACACATTATAGAACCCAGTCCAACCCTTTCTAGACCATAAATCAACACCAGACAATCAAAGATATCCCTCTAAAAGGAATAGCAAATAGAATAATCACAGGACCTAGTTAAATAGCTTGCAGATTAGAAGAATGAAGTAAAAAATTCAAAGATGGCTCAGGCAAACTACCTTTCTTTGAAGTAGAGTTATTTCAAGAAGCAGAAAAAGTCAGACATTATCTGATTCATGATTCTTTGACTTTAATCTTTAGACGACAATGCGGAGTTGGGTTAATCACATGCCTAAGTTCATAGCACACTAAATGATACATAGTTTCAGTGTGATTCAAGAACCTATAGTCTGCCACTATGAAAAAGGAAACATTTTGCAATAAAAAAGAACTGCACCGAAATAGTCCTATTTATCTTCAAAGTAGAGCTGATTTTAAAGCCATTATGGAAACAGTTAAAAGCAATTTGGACTCTGCAGAAAACAGAACACGCAAAATAGAAAAGGATGTCAAGAAATTATTCCCTACTACAGGGGAGAAGTTAAAGACAATAAAAGTAATGTACAGAGAAGATGAAATATTAGACATAAGAGATAATAGATCTCCCTTAAAGGAAGAGAAATCAATGAAAGAAAGGTAACTGTCAAATAATACAGAAAATAATCTTCATTTGGAAAAGTATTTTAAATATTCAAAAATGTACACTAGATCCTTGGCAAAACAGGACATACCTTTACATACACTAGCAAACCTTCAAATATAAAGAAAATTTAAAAATAATATATTATATATATATATATATATATATAAATTAACCACGTTTTGCTCTTGTGTGATGAGGAAAGCTTTAAAGCACCGAAAGCTTGTTTTACTTTACAGGCAGCTTTACTTGTAATGTAAATCAGAATAGGTAACATATACATGTATGTTTTCGTTATGTTATTTTTAAATGTTCACAATTTTATTTTGATAAATGAAAAATTAGAAAAGTCATATCACGGCTGTCGGCTAAAGTCGCTGTGCATGTTCATGTGTGGCTATTGACTTTGGTCCACACTGGTCCCAAAGTGGTTAATTTCGTACTTCAAGAAAACATATACAATATTGAAAAGGAGTTTTTAAAAAGAAGAGTAGAGTACTCATCAAAGAGCAAATACTCTATTGGCCTCCTATTTTAACTACTAATAGCTGAAAATCATGCAAAAATGTCTACAGAGCTTTAAAAGAAAACACCATGGTGCAAGAATTCCATACCCAGCAAATGTGATAGCAAAATAGTCAGTTTTGGATATGACATGGCTCAGAATATGTACTGCCTAGAAAATTTTCTCAAACCAATAGCTCAAAAATATTAAACTATATCAAGATACATTGATATTAACCATTTTAAATATGGACCTGTTGGATTTTTATAACCCTAAAGCCTAAAAGGAAACTCAAATAAAAATCATACTTCTTTTCAACAACTAGAAAGAAAATATTTTTTTTTTAGGAATTTGCCAATTCAAAGCCAGAAATTAAATAAACCAGAATGTTATCTTTCAGCACAAACACAATTTTTAAAGAATACTTTTTATTGAGGCAAAGCATACGTGGACACAAAACCACATGTACGATAAGCAGAGTGCACCAGTGAATAAGCTTCCACTGTAGGAACACACTGTGGGGCCAGCACTCAGATCAAGAAATGGAACCTAAAAGCATCCCAGAAGCCACACTCTTGACTTGCAGTCACCACCTCTCCCCAAAGATAAAACTGCTACCCTAACCTCTAACACCATGGACTAGCTTTGCCTGTTCTTGATGTTCATGTAAATGGAATCATATAGTCTGGCTTCTTTCACTGAACATTGTATTTTGGAATAGAGTAGTCACTCCTTTTTCTTTTCATTGTTGAATAGTATTCATTATTGGAGCCAGGCGCAATGGCTCAGGCCTATAATCCTAGCACTCTAGGAGGCCGAGGCAGGAGGATTGCTCAAGGTCAGGAGTTCGAGACCAACCTGAGCAACAGCGAGACCCCGTCTCTACTAAAAATAGAGACAAATTAATTGGCCAACTAAAAATATATAGAAAAATTAGCCGGGCATGGTGGCGCATGCCTGTAATACCAGCTACTCAGGAGGCTGAGGCAGGATTGCTTGAGCCCAGGAGTTTGAGGTTGCTGTGAGCTAGGCTGATGCCATGGCACTCTAGCCTGGGCAAAAGAGTGAGGCTCTGTCTCAAAATAAATAAATGAATAAATAAATTATTGGAATATGTCAATATATTT